AAAACAGAATTCACCAATACTGCCCTCACTGTGTAATCATTGCAGTTGTGAGGGAGATGATGGAGGCATAGTTGCAGATTTTGGGGGGGATGCAGGGGACACAATATTTCCTCAATATTTAGAACATGTGCATTTGTCTCCTCCAATAACAACATTCAGTAGTGGGGGGCTTTTATTTTGACAAAATTGAAGACATTTACACCATGAACTGATGCATAAAAATTCACCACAATGCAGGAAATAAAGTGTTTGATGCTTGAACCCCCAGTACCTCTGAGTCATATATGTCCGCCCCCAATGGTGAAACAAAACCTACGCCCTTGGATGGCGGTCTTATGATTCACAGTTAAATCTGAAGTCAGAGATGCACACAGCCAACAACAAAGGTGATATTACAATCTGTGGCGCCTCTGTGCTGCTCTGCAGTGTGTCAAACACGCCGCTCTGGAGGCCCACAAACTGCAGCCTGTTAGTGAGGTGGTGAATAATTCAAGAAAACATGGCGTCCATCCATTCACATGCGTCTCTCAGCTTTTTCTTACAGCAGGAAGGGCTCGTGGTGTGTTCGAGTCTGGATAAATCAAAGTCTGGGATTCTGACGGCACCTTCCAGCCTCTGCAGGTGGGGATGAGTCATATGGAGCAGATACAGAATATGAGAGCAGTCCATCATCAGAGGTCTGACCGGCTCCCTGAAGGTCCTCATTACGCATGATGTCAGTGTGACCAACTGGTAGTTATTAAATGTGGTAGGTTTCCACCTCCCTCTGACTGTAGGCCCGGGGTGAATATATGCAGGAAAAATCTCTGCAGCCGTTTGCAAATGAAGCCTTTGCAGCTCTGCTCTCTCCTGAGAAGAAATGATTGACAGGCGAGAAGTTTGTGGGGGTGGGGGTTAAGGTGTTGACCATGGGCTTTATGCACATGACGGACAGTTTGAATCAGTTCAATGTGCAGTCTACAGTAGCCTTGTCTGTGTCAACTGATGCTTCGATCACAGGAAGCAGCTTCATGTCTAAAACCAGCAGCAGCAGCAGTGGCAGCAATTACAATAAATCTCAGCTTCTCCTCCGATAATCTGCTCGGCTGTGGAGGGAAACCATTAACGCTCAGCACCGCCTGCTCCTCAGTGCACATGTTAATTTGACAGAAAACACAATTGTGTCACCAGCCACGTGGAACATGTTTTCTCATGCCTAACCAGCCGGGGTGGTCACGGCTGTTGCACTGGTGACGTGCCTGCTGGGGTGTGCCGTAATTGGACAAAATCTGTCGACATTTCATTCATAGGTGGGGATTCTGTCAGCGTTCACCTGCCTCTAACCTCCACCCTCTGCTGCATCCCAGACTTTCATTGTGATGTTGCTGGTGCTGTTTGTAACGGTGAGGGCGAGCGAAGGAGGATTGAGTAGTTGACAGTCTGTGGGGCAGGTGCAGTTTGGCTCCTGAGGGACTGTAATGGGATGAGGCCCAGCCAGAATGAGTGTTTGATGACGGGGTTGCACTCCTCCCCTGGGACTCTGCCTGCATGCAATTATCCTCCTGATCCCTTCTCTCTTCTCTAGTCTGCAGTCCAAATTGTACACAGCCATCTCTTCACCCTGCTCCCTGAATATCCTTTAACTTATCTAAAATTCAACTCCCTCATATGCAGAAAGATCAAGCGATTATAAACCAAAATTTCAAAGCAGCATTGGAGTAATTACTGTTTTATGGCACCCTCCAGCATGACATTACACTACCCCAGGGCAATTGAATTTATAAACGCCTCTCTCTCCTCCCTAATTGCTTTATTAATGGAGAGCTTGGCACCTCAAATCAGTCTGTCTCACCAGACATGTTATATGTCTCTGCTCTCCTCCCACTGCCACACATGTGCACACTGAAACAAATATTTTTAAAAGGATTTCTGAATCTCCCCCACTTGATTTTTTTTTTTTTTTTTTTTTTTAAGAAGCTCATGTTTTTGCAGTGAGCTCCTGCTTAAGATGCTCACTTTGAAACTGAAAAACCCTCCTCTGTTTTTTGTGATATGCAAATGGAACCCACTCTTAAACATCTCCATCTTGTTTAGCTCCCAAAAGCAACAGGAACTGTGTGCTATCATTATTTTCATCTGTGCACTGAAACATTTATTAGCACCAAACTACCAGCACAGTACTGAGACAGGAAACGGTGACCCGCCTTATTCGCAGTGAGGATTGCATCTTCCACGATCAGAGGAAGAGGAGGCAGATTGCTACATCCAATTGTTTCTCCTCCACAAAACTGGTTTCCTACAGTTGCATGTGAGGTAATCTATCACAGGTCCTTCCAGCTCCCCTCCCCCATATCACATTACGTTGACGGCTTCATACCCTCCTCTCTACAGCATGCTCATATCGTCGGATCACACGCAGACAAAGGATGAGAGGCTGATAAGATTTTACACAATATTCTTGTTGCTGCCAGTGCTTTGCTTTGAAATCTGGATGAAATGATGATGATGATGGATTTTCAGATGATATGGGAACATATTTTACAGCCTATAGTGCATCTTTTTTTTTCTATTAGGGCAGCATCTAAACATAATTGATAGAGCTCTACTTTCTTTTGCCTTTTTAGTCACTGGCTGTTTTTCGACAAATCAACCCCTACCTTCTCCTTATGTGCCACAATACAACACTGTTTCTGCAACGACAGCATCTCACTGGAGTGTCTGACAGTGCAGTTTTTATGAGATGTCCTGTAGAGGACGATGTGAACTTCTATGATCCCATTCTTCACAGTCTGCACCGACATTTCATATGACTCAGTAAAAACCCAACACTCCTCCTGTCTTAATAAAGCATCCATCTTTTCCTCACTGCGAGAAACCCAAATGAAAGAATCAATCCCGCTTCCTCGCTTGATGATGTTGGCCACCGATCATCAGCATCCTCTGAGTGGGACACAGGTGTGCGGCGGGGCCCTCCTGCCTCTGTGATCCGTCACCGAGGCCAGACAAGGGCCAGGCTGCAGCGGCTTAGGCACGTGCCGAGGGAGGGCTCTACTCCCCCTCCATCCCCCGTTCCACCCGCCCCTCGGAGGACTCCCTATTCACACCACCAGATGGGGGCTGGATCTGAGTTTTAATGAATGCTATCCCTCACGACCCCTCTGAGAGCCGCAGAACAAGTCGCCCTCAGCACGTCTCACTGCAGCTTGTTACCCCACGCTGACACACAGCAATAATACACAGGATAGAATAAAAGAGAGCAGAGAATAATGTGCGTTTCATTTCTAATTTCACATCCATATTTGAATAAAGTGGTTTTATAAAAGAGAGTGATGCTTCATATTCCCACAAACACTCAACTCACTGTTGAAGAGATTGGCTGCTACTTCAGTGAGCAGATTTAAGCAAAGCTAACGCGTTTAAATCAGGCTGGTGGTGGATATTATGGGGATGTGTCGACCTCCTGATGTCTATAGTGATACAATTAGACAACCCTGTAATTTTACCTCGCAGGTTAAGAGCGGGGTGCAATTTGTTCACACTTACAGGACAAAAACTAAATAGCTGCTTTATATCAGAAGGGTGGTCTTAAGATGTAGCAAATGACACCCTCTATTATAGTCAAATAACAGCTCTGTGTCAAAGAAAACTAAACATTTGTTGGCATAAAAGATTGACAGCAATTACCTCTTGTTTTTTAATCAGTTCTCAGACATGTGGGTATTTATCCTACATAAATAATGGGTAAAACATGTTTTCATTTAGTGTAGATAGACACAGCCAGAGGACTAAATTGTAGGCTTCTCATTCGGAGTCAGACTAACACATCTGAATCATCACCATGGCTGCTAACTCACTCTGCCACTTATGTGTAAGGCTGTGAAGAAGAGTGAGAAACACAAAATCTAAAAAAAAAAAAAAAAAAAAAAAAAAAAAATCTGTCAGTGTTCAATCCCAGAGGCTGAATGCTAACATGCTGCTTGGTAACATGTAGAGGAGGAAGATTCTCATCCATTTGCTGAATTAACTCCAGAAATTTGTCCTTAAATCATTTCTAAATCCAACCTACAATCTGATCTGACATGATGAAGATGTAAATGAAATGAATGTGCATATATTTGTAACCTTGGAGCAGGTGAGATCCCTTCAATCATTGTTGGTTTCCCTCCAGTCAGATGCATATGTTCTTCATTGGATGGAAATAAATTGGTTGTGTACATGCAGCCCCTTACTCAGTGACCCTTGTCTGTCTCAACGTGAATTGCTTTCACGGCGTGTTAAACGAGCCGTGGTCGTGTTGGTGTTTCCCTGTGCACAGCGGCCGGCTCTCTAATCCGCTGTCTGCCAGAGTTATGTCACACACTAGCTATTGTGGAGCGTTTGATTGAAGACGCCTGATCTGACTAACTGATCCCTCGCCACAGAGGTGCTCTGACACATGGGCGAGGTCTGAGATGTGTGAATTGGCAGTCGAGTCACGTGACTGGCATTAAGCCAATCAGAATTTTTAGATTCAGACGAACGCAGCTTTGTGGCGAAGAGGCGATATTGACAGATGGTGTGTGAGAAAATGATTTTTAGGTGTGTACAGTTAGAAAAGGGAAAATTGGATTGCAAAGGATTTGCTTTCTTTGATGTCTGCAGTGTCTTTATGGCCCCTTGTCCTTTAAAACTAATTTGTCAGGACCTCATAAATCAGCAGCTACAGATTTATTTTTTAAAATGTAATTTGGGAGTAAGGTTGGATTTATGATGCTTAATGAAGCCTTGAATCTCCGGAGACCAATTTATAAAGTGTAAACTATTCACTGCCTGACAATTACTGTCAATTTAATTCAGTCAAATCACGTGCTGCTGCTACTTATTACAAGGCAGCATGTGAGGGTACCATCTGTCCAAACCTTGTAAGCTGGGTATTTTTAACATCCGGTTGCACTGAGATGAAAAAAATAAATTAATTAATTCCATTATTACAAGCTGCATGGATAAGCTTCAACAAAAATGTTTATGCTGGAAAAGGGCTACTGCAACAAATTTTAAGGCTCCCAAATCCACTAAAATGAGCAGTTCTAAAATGTTGTCATCAATTGTGTTTTAATTGTTTGTTTTTTATCCTATTCATTTATCCAGTTGTGTTTCTGATTCTGTGACAGAAATGGAAAAGAAACCTCTGTAAACGACTGGTCAACATTCATTATGTGTATTTTTTTTAACTAGAAGACTGTGTTTTGATATCTGAGATCGGTACAGACACCAATAGTACTTTTTGACATCTTCCCCAGTTATGGACATGTTTACCTACAAAATCAGATTTTTCATTTAAGAGGAAACCAAAGTTTTTGAATGGTGTCATAACCCAAGCAGCCATATAAGAACTCTGCCTATTAAAATATGAACAAAATCAACAAAGTTATGATTAAAACAGTCTGATCAGAAGTAAGGAGGAATATGAATCTGAGCGAAAATTGGATACCAGCTTTTAGTTATTGGCAACTTCCAAAAATCTGTGCTATGAACACATTATGTGTGGTGCTGAGGTTTAATACCCAGCCACAGTCAAACATTGCATAAAGACAAAGACAGAAATATACATTTGACATTTCTTCCAGCTCTTAAGAATCCGCAAGGCTGGCAGTCACTTATTAAATGCTGACAGGAGGTCTCCCCACACACTCAGACCTCTGACATCAAAGTCCCCATCAGAAATTTTCAAAGCATTTAGTTCTTTCTCTACATCCTCCCTCAGAGAGGGACAGGCCTCAAACAAGGCCAGAAAGTGCTCCGTCAGTCTCTGGAAGGACACTGTTTGCTTTGTGCCACTTTGAACCCATTCACCCTCACTTATGCTGTACTCCATATCAGAGGCCAACTTTTTCAGCACATCACAATATGCATCTCTAAATTTCAGGTGTGGTGTGACCAGGTCTATAATAAGTGTAGTAGGCAGTGCAGAGCACATGTGCTGCAGCACACTGTGTTCTTTCTGCAGCCAGTCCAACAGAAAATCCTGTGAAGCAGTTTGTGCAGCGGAGTTTTTTGTTGTCAGCAGAGCTGCTGCGATGACCTGACAGAAATGTTGTGTCGCTCCTCCACATCCCTGGAGGACGGAGTCTAAAATGTGCTCTGTCCAGCAGGCTTCACTGCCAGCACCCAGCCTCTCCATCAGCATCGACCCCTGCACCTCAGCATCAGCACCAACAGCTGACAGGTCGGTGAGAGGACTCAGGACTTTACAGGCAGATTTACACTGAATGATGTGGCTGCAGTGGCCAGTGACATCCTGATACTCACTCTGCTGGTTGTTTACAGGACTTGTCGTGTCAAAGAGTTGCTTCATGATGGAGATGGGCAGCTCAGGATTTTTTAGCAGCCCAACAAGCAACAGGTGCTGACACCGGGAGAGGTCCGAGAAGGAAACCTGTGTGTATCCAGGGAAGGCAGCTCGCAAACTTTCACTTGTGACCTGCAGCTGCTTCTCCATGATCCTCCTTATCGAGGGGTTATTGTGGAACCTGGTGAAGAGGTGTTCGCAGTACTGGGTCCAGTGAAAAGCTCTGGATAGAGTTTGTTTATCCCACTGCTCCACCACACTGCTGTGCGCCGCCACAGCCAGCAGCTCCACCGTGCTCGCCAAGTTTTTCAGCACCGCCTCCATGTGGCGCTCTCCGCGTTCAGACTTCAGCCCCTGAGCGCCGGTGGTGGTCGCTCACTGCGGAGGAAAGACATTCACTTAAACTGTCCTCTGCCGCCGACAAACTGCTGCTAACCTTATTGAACTAGCTAGCAGTTAGCAACAGGTTAGCTAACAACAGTACTTCCTGTGGCCCGTTTCAAAACAAAATCATTTTTAACGAATTATGTTTAAGGTAATATCCAGCGTTATGCATAAAACACAGTATAACACACTAGTTAAGGGATATTTAGGAGAAATAAACATCGTTTTACTCACTTGTTTTTTCATTTTCTCTCGTCCGACTGCCTGTTTGCGCCGCTTTTACTACTGCGCATGTGTGCCGGAGTGCAGCCAACTTTTTTCCCTTCAAAATAAAAGCCGAGTAACTTATTGCCAATAATAATAATGATAAAATAATAATAATAATAATAATAATAATAATAATAATAATAATAATAATGATAAAACATTTGCATTTTCTTATTTTATTTCTAATGTTTATTTTCTGACTATTTATACAAATGTATGTGATACATTCTTTTTTATTATATAGTTAAAAATATTCTTAAAACAAAGTCTATTTAACTGGGATTAGAGAAAAAACATGCATTTTTGACAAGAGAGCAATTCGCAATGTATGTATTTGTGATTGTGTCTGCTTCAAGATATTTATTTACAACCACCAAACTGTTAAAATTAGTTCTCACTACAAACGTAACTGTAGATGTGACATTGCCAGGGTTTACCAGTTGGATCAGACTACATTACATGCGGGCACACAGTAAAAAAAAAATCCATTAAATCAAATGTATCGGCGTATTGAATTTCTCGGGTTGACCTGCTGAATTCAGTCCAGAAATGTCACATTGAGGCAACACAAAGCGGAGAGAGGTGGGAGGCACTGCCAGTAGGACCAAACTTCCCTCCCATCAGCAGCAGCAGCAGCGTGTTGTGAGTGTAGCCTACATGTGTGTGTGCATGTGTGTGTGTGCAGTCAGATCCTTGTGCAAATGCGCAGTGAGAAAGACCTCCCCGGTCCACATTGGTTCAGTGTTTTGGAGCCTAACCTGTGGGTCGCTGCACCGCGGTGAAAAAGCATGAACGCTGGGATCCAGCAGCTCTCAGGACGAGTGAGAGGAAGGTGCGCACCAACGAGCTGAACCCTGAGGGTGAGCACAGATAAGAAGCTTTTTTGGGGACTCATGCAAGAAATGTTTGCTGCTTTACTGCTGCCAAATAAATGTCTGACTTTTGAATGTCTTTATGCATATTCAGTTTTAAGCTGTGGGGTGTAACTTGTACTTTATAGTCTCTTTCTCTTCTCATTGCAGAGTAATGTCATGCTCTATATTTAAAAGTTGGGGCTCAGTTACTTCTTGATAGTTAAAAAAACTGGTAATTATTTTTTATATTCCTCACAAATGTAATGCCAGGCATATTTAATTACACAGAATCTGACTTATTTTCTTCAGTTGCAGCTCTCAGTTTTTCATTGGTTTTAATTAGTGGCTGCTCTGCTGGATTTCAGTCATAACTCATCAGGCGTTCTCCCTTGATCCTATTTCCAGAGTGGTTATATGTCTGTTGTGGTTGTTTTTATTTGTGACAGTTGTAAAGGAGGAGACAGCTTTAAAATATTAGAGCGGCTGTAAATGAAATGTGCTGCCGAGTGTTTTACCAGTCAAAAAAAACAAACCAACTTATTGGACTAAATTTAGAAATAGTAACAAAAGATCTGTATGCTGCAGGGATAAGTATGTTGATGTGCTGTCTGTCTGGAATGCAGTTTGTTGATGGTGAAAATGTTTACAACAAAGAAATGCAGGCCTGAGGGTGCCTGTTAGATTTGAAAAATTATATAGTCTAGAATAAATCAGTGCAGGATTTATGACACCATGTGGTGTACTAATAAACACAAGAGCAGTATTGCTGGAATATGATATTGTGGATATGTAAACAAGCATCGTGCTGTTTGCTTGTTGTTTGATGTTTGATCTTACAGGGGAATATTCTGCTTTTGTTGACATTTGCAACCAGACTTTGTACTTAAGCGACCGCAGCTGATGACACTATCTGATACTTGAATATGACACTGACTCACAACACTCACAGTACTTATCTGCAGTGGAAACATGCTGAGTTCCCTCGTTTAAGTGGACAAATCAGCCTCCAGATCAGTTTACTATTGTGGAGGAGAAAGGCACAAAGGGCGGCGAGGGTGAGGAGGACAGAGCCACTCTTGTTTTTTTCTAATTGATGTGTCCAAGTTCCCATCCATATGCCTTTCCTGGAGCAATCTGCAGCCAACTGTGGCAGGTTATGACTTTTTTCACTGAAGTCATGAGACTTTTCGTACAAGGAAATGTGTATGTTCATCTCTGTGTATTGTAATACCTTTGAGCTATAAATTAATGTTTTCCTGATCTCAGTCTTGAGTCTGTATGGTGTCAGATTGTGAATCTTATTCTGGAAAATTACATGACATAGATGGAGCACCAAGTTCAGCAGATGGTGCAAGCTACATAAAGCCAGGCAGGGTGGTGGTGGTGTGGGCTGTGTTTTTGGCCTGCAGTGGAAGAGGTCAGGCTGCAGTGTGGTGAGAGGAGCCAGGTATGTTTAACAACAGCTGGTTGTTTCTTTAGGACTCTTTCCTGGGAAAAACAGGGGAACCCATGTGTTTATTAATGATCCTGTCGGGAACAATACAGGTTTTTCAAGATAAGGTGAAGTATTTTGCTTTGTTGCTTATTGGCAGATGTTTACCCATAACTCCAATGCATCTTTCAGCTAATCTGAATAATTTAAAATGATTTATTTAGCTTAAGGAGTAGGAGAAAGTTGGAGTTATATGGCTTTCATTGGGCAGCAATAATATCTAAATACAGCATATCAAAAACAATGTCCATGACAGATATGTCAAATACAAATGTTTTTATTGACAGCAGTGAATGAGCTTTCTACTGAGACATGAGAAGTTGTCCCAGTGCCCTTGTTCTGTCTGTCAGCCTGCCCCACAGTGGATGTGGGAATGTAGCACCTGTGTGTGAGTGCTGAGCTCCAAAGTTTACTGTGTACGCAGCAAGGAGCTCTTGCATTCAGGAAGATAACACGACCTTGGTCGGACATCAAGGTCCCGATGTCCGGCGTGACACCACAGTGTGATCTGGTTGGGGCCACCTCCAGAGGGACCTTGAAATGTTACACAGCTTTAAAGGTCAGATTCTTCAGATTGTGTTACACTCCCTCGGCATTCAGAGGAAATTTTCAGCCATCACAGACTGTGAACTAATTGTTCATGGCAGCTTCGCTTCCTTGTTTGAATAAGCTCTTCTTGTGATTTGCATCATATGTCCTGGTGCTATTTGCCTACTGTGTACCATGGAAGATGTTCCTGCTTGTGTCCAAGCTGGAGGCAAAACTTTTTTAGGTGCAGCAACTTGATGTCATTGTCAGAGTTGGTATTGGACTCGACCCACTTTCTGTTTCTGTAATGAAGCCTGAACAAAGAGCATGCTGTGGAACAAAAATCAGTCATCTATGTTATTAAGTTATCTATAACAATAGAAAAGTTCTGCTGTCTCTTCAAACTTATTACATTAAAAACCTCTCTATTGTAAGAGCCCCCTTTTTCAAACAATCAAGCAATCAAGCCCATTTTATTTCTATTTCTTTCTTCTCAATTCGTGAAATGATGTCCGCACATATGCTCTTTCCATGTCAGGGCTTACATCTGGTGCCCAGTTGTTTTGTCAGTTACTCACTTGTCCCGGCACTAATGGAGTGACACTGGACTGAGACGTGAAAGATTTTCACATTATAGCTCAGACAGCGAGCGCTTGGCACACTGCAGCACCATATTGGAAAAGACTGTGAGAAATGTCTCATTTACTCATTGACTTCAGTTTGCAGGCCGTGAGTAGCTGTTAAATATCACTCTGAATATTGATTTCAAACGCAGCCTCTCCATCAGGCTGTAATGTAAGGCCGGCTGCAGCGTCTGCTGGATCGCACTGATGTACTGTAGATGATAGACTGAATCTGTAATCTGAAGGAGCTCTTTGTTTGTGTCCGCTGTTTGTTGAATAGAAGTCCCACTGTATGATTCTGGCTGGTATAAAAGTGTCTCTTGTCCAGTGAAGAGGCCGTCGCATGTCATCAGGTGGACTGTAAACCAAACCAGGATTTGGCCAAGAGGACAAAAGCTCTCTTCTCTTGTGTTCATCTGATCCGCCTCTGCTCCTTTTGAAGAATACTGTCATGAAATTTTAGATTATAAGTGTAAAACCAAAATTTTCAGATGGTCTTTATTTTACGAGTGTTTCCTTCTGTTATGATAATATATCATCTTTATAACTACTGATTGTTTTCTTAAGAGCCACAGCTCAGTGATAGTAGTATGTAGAATTTTCTGTATTTACATACGCTTATAGGTATTCAGGTATAGTGTATACATCATACATCTATGTACATACCCCAACATAAGCATACAAGGGTTGGACACCAGGATTTTTAACATCTGTAACACCTTTAAAGTAAATTTAACCGACACAAGCATGGCCTTAAAATGTCCATGGAGTTGAATCAACTCCTTGAACATAAGATCCACATAAGTATTTATTTGAGATCTGCTGATTCTATTACGCAGATGTTACTTTCATTGTGTTCCATATTGATTTCCTATATACAACAAAAATGGTGTTAACAGCAACCCAAAAGTGGCTCTCTGACTTGTTATAATAGAGGAACCTACTTTGACGCTACATGGCACCCATCATTTAAAGTTGCTGAACAGAGCCTTTATCTAATAGAGCTATAAAGAACCATTAAAGGTGCCATGTTGTTTTTGATTTTTTGTACTTGGGTACCCTTAAATGAGGACAGATAAAACCATGCATGAGTTAACATGCCTCTAAATGACACTTTTACTTAAAATATGAATGATTGTTGATCATTTCAAATGAAATAATGGCTTAAAGGATTCTGAACTCAATACATTACCTTTTCAAACCTGGAATATTTATGTGCACCAGGGTGGCAAAAAGGTTGAAAGTCACTGCTTTATTCTCATAAATGGTAAATAGACCTGCATGTGTATAGTGCCTTTCTAGTCCTCCTGTGCTTTTTACATTATGAGTCACTTTCACCCTTTCATGCACACATTCATACACTGGTGGCCGAGGATACATGGTGCCACCTGCTACTCAGTTTTTTTAACACGCTCATGCACCAATGGAACAGCCATCGGGAGAAATTTGGGTTCAATATCTTGCTCAAGGATACTTAAACATGTGGGCTGGAGGAGCCGGGGATCGAACCACTGATCTTGACAACCTGCTCTGTCTT